TAATCTAATTGAACTTGGGAACTTATCTACTTGAGTTAGTTATTTTCTTTCTTCCTTGTTTTATTTATTTCCTTTCTTTTTCATTTCTGTTTTGTGTAGGGAAACTAAATTGGATCATTCAATCACCAATCCCTGTGGAATCGACCTCGCACTTACATACGCTAAACTACCAACGGTTCGTGCACTTGCGAGTATCACAAGTTGAGGATGCAACTGAATCCATTTTGGTGCAGCTGTATAAACACAACAGCCATCTTCTTTGCCTCAAATTTAGTTCCTTCTGGGTGAACAGATACTTCAGGCTCTTATGATCCTTGAAAATCCGGCACATTTCCCTATAAAGATAGTGTCGCTAAATCTTCAGAGTGAACACTACAGTGGCAAGTTCCAAATCATGAGTAGGATAGTTCAACTCATGCTTCTTAAGTTGCTTGGAAGCATAAGCGATTACCCTACCATGCTGCATCAGCACCCAACCTAATCCTTGTCGGGACGCATCATTGTATATTACGAAATTCCCCGTGTCGTCCAGAAGTGTTAATACCGGAGTGGTGGTCAACCTGGTTTTGAGTTCATTGAAACTCTCTTCACGCTCATCTGACCATTCGAACTTGACGCCTTTTCTTGTCAAACAAGTGAGAGGTGCAGCTATGGTGGAGAATCCTTCCACGAAGCGATGATAGTACCCGGCTAACCCAAGGAAACTCCATTTCTCAGTAACACTAGTTGGCCATGGCCAATTCACTACTGCCTCAACTTTCTAGAGATCCACATAAATACCCTCTGCAGAAATCACGTGCCCCAAGAAACTTACTCTGTCCAACCAAAACTGACACTTACTAAACTTGGCATACATATGTTTCCGCCTCAAAGTCTTCAGCACAATTTCCAAGTGCTTCATGTGCGCCCTTTGACTTTTGGAGTATACCAAGATGTCGTCTATGAACACAATCACAAAGCGATCCAAATAACGTTGGAACACTTTGTTCATGAGATCCATAAACGCAGCTGGCGCGTTAGTCAATCCAAATGGCATCACCAGGAACTCATAGTGCCCATACCTCGTCCGAAAAGCTATCTTAGGTACATCTTCCTCTCTAATGCGTAGCTGATGATAACTTGACCTCAAATCAATCTTAGAAAATACCTTGGCACCCTTCAGCTAATCAAATAAGTCGTCTATACATGGCAACGGGTACCTCACACCGTGACCTTATTCAGCTGCCTGTAGTCAATACACAATCTCATGGTGCCATCCTCCTTCTTAACAAACAATACTGGAGCGCCCCATGGTGAGAAACTGAGTCTTTAACTCCCTTAACTTTGCTAGTGCCATTTTGCACGGTGTCTGAGAAATGGGATTCGCACCAGGAACGAGCTCAATAGTGAACTCAATCTCTTGGTGAGGTGGTAAACCTTAAAGATCCTTCGGAAACACATCTGGGAATTCCTGTACCACCGGAATATTCTCCAACCTCAATCCACTATCCCGGGTGTTGATAACATGCACCAAATATCATGAACATCCTTTCCTAAGCAACCGTCTTGCCTTCATAGCTAAAATGAGGCAAGATGGAAGGACTCTGCGCTCACCATAAAATGTCACCTTAGGTCGTCCGGGACTACGGATCACGACCTCTTTCCTGAAACAGTCTACTGAGGCATGATGTTTGGCCAACCAATCCATACCCAGAATTACATCCAAGTCAACCATATCTAGCGGAATCAGATCCGCCTCCAGAAACACGTCTCCTACTAGCACCATACTAACTCTACACACTGAGGACGACCTCTCCTACTAGAACCTTATTGCAACTGTCTCCCAGCACTTCTAGCTATACTACCTCCAAAGCGGTTCCCAAAACTACCACTCTGGTTAGATCCTCCACTAGAACTACCTCCAGGTCAAAAACTTCCGTAACTGCGGCCACTAGATGATCCAGAACTAAAACTGCCTCTCTTGGATGACCCATAACTGGGACCACCCATCTCAAACTGTCGCCTACGAGAATCGCCCTGTCCTCGGACCATCATCTGGCTACTCTCAATCAGGGATGCTGACATGACCAAGTCCTCAAAGTTAGTCAGCCGCTGACTAATCATAATATCTTTAATAGACGCCTTCAACCCTCGGGTGAACAACTGACGTTTCTTTCTTACATCTTGCACCAATGGAATGCAATACTTGGATAACTCGTGAAACTTCTTTTTATACTCTAGTACAGTCATCAACCCCTGTTCCAACTGCAAGAATTCTTCCATCTTCATGTTCTGGTATGCGAGTGGATAGTACTTGGCTATCAAATGCTACTCGAAATACTTGCCATGTGATGGCTGATGGATCCCGACATTGCCTTCTAATTGACTCCCCTTAGTGTCTCGCATTCCTGGCTAAAAAGAAAGTGGCCAGGATCACTCTGCGATCCTGTGGAACAGCCATCAACTCCATGACTCGCTCCATCTTCTTAATCCACTCCTCAACTACTGCTGGGTCACCATCACCATCAAAATCGGTGGCCCCAATCCTCCTAGCCTAATCTGCATAACTCAAGGAGGGGTCTCTGGATTGCCCAGTCCTGGACAGAGCCTGAGTCAACATCTCCAAGGTCCGCTGGAAATTAGGGTCCAAATGTGGGAGAACCGCTGCCGGTGTGGCTCTTGTCTGACCTCCCACCTGAGACTGTTCTACTTGTTCTGGTTTAGGATGGGGATCCTGTCCTCTAAGTCGGGACGACTGTCTAGTCCCTCACCTAGTGCCACCACGTTTAGGGCCCATGATTCGGTCAAAAGAAACAGAAACTCATTAAAACTGGATTGCACCTAAAGTGCAAAGTCTACAGGAATTGAACCAAATGCTCTAATACCAAGTTGATAGGACCCGACCCAAATTCCACTTTGGAATCCGAGACAGACCTTGCGCGTGTCCGACACCTGGCAGGTTCCGAGCACAAAAGACCTAATTGCCCTTCTAGTCAAATTTCTAAGGGAGTTTCACTAAAACACCCAAAATGGGGGCTGAAAATAAAAAAACCCAACACCCAAAACACTTTATAAACACACCCAAAACCCATCATTACACACACTCAAAACCCATTTATAAACACACCCAAAAAATATACAATTGTTGATTTTGGGGTTGATTTTGGGTGTGTTTCTATGTTTAAATAGTGCGTGGGTTTGTTTCTATGTTTAAATACTATGGTTTGACTTCTGCCAAAAATTTGGCAGAGTCTCTCCTATAATTTGACCAATCCCAAAATTTCACCTGTCAACAAGCATACAAATATACACCAACTGCCAGCATGCAAATAATTACATTCCAACAGTTAGACATGCGTTCTAGGGCAATATTAGAGCATCTATATAGAATGGATTATAAGTATAATTTAATTATACAAATCCCTACGATGGAAAAAGACGTGGCAGAAGGTGAACTCGGCCCGGTGGTGGCGCACTAACGCACGACTACTGCCTGGGGGCACAAAACATTAAAAAGGGTGAGTGGACCAAAAACAAAGCTTTAGAAAATAGCATATGAACATACTAACCCCTCTGTAAAAACAGTTATAAGACTAAATCATTTTCTTATTTATACTCGTACTGAAATCAATGCATACATATTTATATTTATAGATTTAATCATACACTTTATCAAACATTAATTCCTTGAAAGCATTAAAACCACTTTAATCTACCACCTAGGTGTACCCATTTACTAGTCCGTCAATTCCCTGTAATCCGTCAATTCCTTTAGTTTCCGTCAATTCCATCCTCGTGCCACCGGAATGACACGTCCTAGCAGACCTCGAGAAACACAAAGTCACCCGAGCCGCAATCCTCGCGGAATTCAGGGGACACTTGGTCCATCTGAGCCGCGTTCCTCGCACCACACGGTTTGGGCGTCCCCGAAACTCGTGGGGCGGTGTCTAGCATGCTGACCTACCCGAAGGCAACTCGATGTCCGTCGACATCAATATAACTGAAGGCAACATAATTTTCATTCCGAAGGCAACCTTATTTTCGAGGCAACATTTATTATACTGAAGGCAACCTTGGGTACCTAAGTGGTTTCGCCTCTTAAGAGCAAACTTTTCTCAATCAATTTGAAGCTTACGTGCAGAAGGTAGTGTGGAGACATAGAGAATAAACAAAATTATTATAAGGATAAGAATATAGTGAAATTAAAAATGATATCAAACTTAATATCATTAATTATTTAACAAACTTACATAGAAGCAGAAAAGCAGTAGTGCTCAACAGAAGCTTCGCATAAGCAGCACTTGAAAAACCCTCAGAACACTCCAAAACACTCAAAAATACAAAGTTTATTTTACTTTAGAGGCGATGTTTTTTGGTGGTTCCCAATTGAGGAGGAGTCCTCCTTTTAAAGCCTCGGGGCTGTCGACGTGTCAATCAGAGACAGAAGATCACAAAGCAGCCTACAGTAGAGCGACATCTTCACTTTGATGATTCTGGCTGAACTTTCATGCAAACGGCCAAAAGAAAAAAGCAAACTTTTACAAAAGGAAAGTAAAAGCAGAGTCAAAGCAGGAGCATCTTGCTTTTACCAGAGGAAAAGCAAAAGTAAAAGGCTTTATTGTAAATTACAGTGAGTACAAATTGTCTTCTTATCAGAAAAAGATATTACTGAGGCCTACCATAAAGATCCGGATGAAAGTGGTCAAGCATATCTTCATTAGCAAAAGGGTCCACCTCATCTTGAAGTTGAGTGGCAGAAGCTGATGCCATCGACTCATCATCTAGATCCAGGATCTCGAGGACTTTCTTTTTCAAATCTTCTTTTGATGAAGAAGAGCCTGACTGATCTATCAACATTTGTAACCTTTGTGAAACACATAAACTGGCAAAAGAAGTGGCCAAAGGATGAGCAGCAACAGGTTCAAAAGAGGGAATAATCGTTGGGGAGATCTTGGCAGGGACTAAGTGATCTCTAGTGAATTTATCCCACCAACAAATTAAGATACTTCATACTAAGTTAGGAATATAAGTCCATTCCTCATCAACATCATCCGAAATAACATATTCCCATTTTAATATCCAAGGTAGTTCATACATCATCATGAATCACATGAACAAAGTCCTTTGATCAGGATGATTTTTATTCCATTTACAAAATTTCATTTGAAAAGACTCCTTAATTTCAGGAGGAAGGTATTCCATAGTAGGACCCTAGATAAGGACAAAGCTCTTGAACCAATTAGGGAGTTCTTTCAGAGCTCGAAGCTTAAACTGGATAAACCAAGTATGAGAATAATTTTGATTTTGAAAACATAATACATATTCCCATGCTTTTCTATAATCCCAGAAATTATATGAATATGGCCTAATTTCAGGATGGATGAATCTTCTGGCCCTTTCAGGGCTGGGACCCCATTCTTCCAAGGAAATGACATTTAGAATTTGGATTTTGGAGAATGCTATAGAGTTGGTATTTTCACCTCTATGGCAATGAACTATATTAACAGATTTAGTTTCAATTAGAAGAGTTTCATAGAATAGATGGGGCTTATTTAAGGGAGGAAGGTTATCCCTTAAATATTTTTCAGCTAGAAAATTCGGGTGTTTGTCCAGATCATTCATTTCAATTATTGCTATAGACATATTAATATATTCACGGAATGGATTCTCAGCAATCTACTTCTCCTTACCCTTATTATATGGAGAAGAAGTCATCAATGGCTTTGGATCATGCGGGGATGACCTAGTAAGGGCTGAAGAGCTCTTACTGGGAGTCATTTGTCCGGAACTTCTGGTTCGCACCCTGCAAGAATTCTCGAGTTAAGAAATCAGGTTGTGCGTTAGTTTCACCTTTAATAAATTCAATATCAAAATCGAAAGCAGAAAGTATTCCTTGCCATCTTGCAAAAATTTGTTTGGATGCTAAATTTTTTACATCTTTGAACAAAATGTCAGCCTTGCAATCCACTCTTATCAAGAATTTTTTATTTCAAAGATCACTTTCGAATTTAAAAACAGCATGGACAATAGCTAGCATTTCTTTCTTAACAGTAGAATAATTCTTTTGAGCTGGTTTCCAAACTCCAAAAGTGAATCTAACCAATTGTGAAGAATTATTAACCTTTTGTTTCAGGATTCCTCCGTACCCAATTTCTGAAGCATCTGTTTCTACTATTTTAAATGCTTCGGGGTTGGCTAAGGCTAAGCAAGGAAGTTCTTTAACTTTAATTTCAACCTCCTAACAGCCTTAGTGTGCTCCTCTGACAAGGGAATTGGGTTCTTTTTCAACCTTTGGTATAACAATTTCGAGTCTTGAGCCAAATCCTTATAAAAATCCTTTATGTAATTGAGACTTCCTAAAAATCCTTATTTCATCAGGGAACTTTTCAGCAAAGGATATTGCTCGATCAATCGGAACTATCAGTCTGTCCCAAAAAATGAATTTTTGAAGAAAATAATTTCATTTTCTTTGCCGAAACCACTAATCCTGCATGCTTTACAACTTTCAAGAAAATATTCAGATGTTTAAAGTGTTGGTCTAAAGAATTAGAATAAACCAGAACATCATCAATATACATAATGGTGAAGGCAGTGTAAGGATTAAATATATCATTCATAATATTTTGAAACTCAGCATGGGCGTTTTTCAATCCAAAAGGTAAAACATTCCATTTGTAATGTCCAAAGGGGACATTAAAGGCTGTTTTGTACCTGTCCTTTTCTACGATTTGAATTTGCCAATATCCTGATTTCATATCAAATTTAGAGAAAATTACTGCCTTATTCAATCTATCCAAAAGGTCCTTTTTATTAGGAATTGGATATCTAACCCATTTTAAGGCTTTATTAAGAGGTTTGTAATTTATTACCAATCTGGGTACCCCTCTTTCTAATTCTGTCGCGTTTTCTACATAAAAGGCAGAGTAGCTCCAAGGAGATGAGCTTTTCCTGATTAACTTTTTATTCAATAAATCTTGAATTTCAGATTTACAAATTTCCATTAGCCTAGGATTCATTTGAATTGGCCTAGCTTTTGTTGGGATTTTCTTTTCATCAAAATCAGGCTCATAGGGCAATTCAACTATGTGTTTTTTCCTATTCCAAAAAGCATTGGGTATTTCAGCACAAACTTGACTCTCGAACATCTTTTGAACTTCTTCTATTTTTTCTTTCATCTTACTGTCTTGCAGTTGCTCTTCTATTCTTTTGTACTGCATTTCTTCTTTCATATGATATAGATAATTCTCTTTCTTCTTTATCTTTTCTTGAATTTCATTAATATACTTATGCTTGGGTGGTTGAGAAAACCTAAAAACTATAGGTTGACCTTCTACCTCAGTTCTTATTCCTTCTTCATAAACAGAGAAAGGATAAAGCATATTAATGAAGGGGGTTCCTAATATCATAGACTAGTTTAAACCTTTCACCAAGACAAAAGGGGTTTCAAAACAAATACCATGATTAAGCACAGCAGCGTTAGATAATTTAAACTGAATTCCCATCCTTTGACTATTGACTGATGTGTGTAGAACCTGAGTAGTTTTCTGAAAATACCTCGTAGGTACAACACCTTCGTTTATACAGTTAAGATCGGCTCCTGTATCTATCAACCCTTCAACTGTAAACTTGTAGGTTTTATTATTCACAATAGTTATCATTGCATACCATTTCTGTGCTATCACTCTATCTATGCTATTGACGAATTTCATGGTATTAACCTATTCTTCATGTAGGGCTTCTCTTCTTACAGGTTCTATTTTTTCTTGAAATTCCTCCATTAGATTTTCAAACTCCAATTGCTTAGACTTTTCTTCTTTTGTTAAGACACAAATTCTAAGATCTTTAAATTGACAGGCGCACTCTTCCTCGCTATCTGAGCTAGTTTCAGTATCAGACTCAAATAATTCTTCGTTTTCTAGTTGAGCTAGTTCGTCATCACTATCTTGCTCAGAACCAGATGAATTAAGCATTATTTGGCAAAGTTGTTGCTTAAGATCTTCACTAATGAACCAGATTTATAATGTCCAACTTTTCCACACTTATAGCATGTTGGGACCGCTCCTTTCTTTCCTTTACTAGCCTTTTTGCTAGTCTCTCCTGGGTATCTTTTTTTCCTAAAAGTTCTGTATGGCTTCTTGGGTTCAGGCTTAGATTCATATTTCTTATATTTCTTAGTCTTATGGCCCCCAAATTTCTTTCCCTTCTTATATGTTTTATGTGAATATGATTTTATTGGTTCAAAACCAAATTGTTCACAAAAGTCACCTAATTCTTTTTTGCCTAGGGCCTTTTGCTTATCAAGCTATTTTCTTAATTTCATATATGTGCAAAGAGCTAATCCTTCTACGCAGATTTCAGACAACAATTCCCCATATGTGTAAGACCCATAAGGAATGACACCACCATTTTTCTCTTTGATTCTGTTCCTAACTTTTTCAGCAAATAGAAGTGGTAATCTTGAAAGAAATTTCTCTTTCCAAAAGTCAGCATTACAGTCTTGCCTAGTGAATACCTTAGAGTAAAACACGTCCTTATACGACCTAAAATGGGACAAGGTCTGACACTTAAGATTCATTAAGAGTTCTCTAGACCCGTCGTGCTGTAATTCTGTAGTTCCTACAAAATGTAGAGTGATTGTGTAAATTAGGGAATTTACTGCATCTTCCTGGTAAACGTTTTCACTTTTGATTAACCCAGTTGCAATTGCCACCTGAGCGTTTAGGATTTGGGTTCTTGCCGAGTCGCTTAGGTGGAAATCCCACCATCCTTTTAATTGATCGACAAAGCCTACGATGATAGCTTCAGCCACCCTCTTATCTCCATTTCCTTTGATCTTAGAGGCTGTAGCGTACATCATCATATGTTTCATTGCATTAATGATTTGATATTCTATCAGACCATCAATATTCCATTCAACTATGGAGCTTCCGTCATACTAAGCGGAACTCCACATTCTATCTTCCTCAAACTGTAAGTCTACTGGCGTGGGTCTAGGGTAGTAATTTTTTGTCTTAGCAATTTGAGTGAATTTCCTTTCATTCGTTAACCTATTAATTTTAGGTTGTTCTTCTTTAAACATAGTTTCAAGGTCATCTAATTCCCCTTCAGCGAGAACCGACACTTGAGAACCCTTTCCTTTGTCTGACAAATTTACTTCTGATAATTTCTCTGCCAGGATGTCAACAAAATTTTCATCTTCTGACAATGTTCTTCCCATCTTAAAGTTTTTATTATCTAAAGAGGGAGGTGGTTTAAAGAACACTTGACTCATTTCCTTGGTCTTTTTAGTTCCTAAGGGTCCCAGATCAAATTTTTGTTCCTTTGTAGAAACAGACATTTCAATCCTAGTGACTTACTTTCCTAGAGACTGCAGGAACAGGTTGGTGTAGTTGTTCTGCTGAATGACAGCACCTATATCTTCTTTACTAGCTGTACGAAAATTATTGGCGCTATCCTCAAGGAAAGTGGTTTCTTTGTAGGGAGCAGCTATCACATCCTTCTGCTTAATCACCATTTCGGGTGGATGTATGGCTTTTACTAACTTCCCATCTTTGGAAATGTAAGTCGAGAATGGGCACACCAATATTCTATATGACTCCTATATTCAGGAATGTTATATTTCTGAGCACACCAATCTAACCACGTAAAGAAGAAACAGTTGAATTTCTTTTCTTTCATAAAGGCGGTATGGGCTTTCCAGAGATGATCTTGCCTATGCTTTTGAAAGGCTGTTTCAAACCAGAGTCTTTTATTAGCATTTTCAATACTCAGATAATTCTTTTTTATCTTTTCGTGTTCTATTTCAAAGGATTTTAACATATTTATTTCGAATTCTACATCTGAAAAGGTAGGTTCAGGTTGAGGTGGATTTCTCCTAATTCCTATGTCTGGAAGGGTTTGTTCAAACCTATAGGCTAGCCTCTGTATTTGTTCTTGGGTTCTCCTAAGACCTGCCAAAACCATTTTGTCATGGTCTAGATCGTAAGCTCTATCAAAGGAGGTACTCGACCTGTGTGGTTCTAGGTTAGATCTAGAGGGTGCTAGATCATTCCTAGTTTTTCTAGCGCTGGAGAATTGTATTTCTACCTCTCCATCAGCTAATTGGGAGATTCAAGTAGGCTCCTGATTTTCAAGGGGCTTCTTTGGGGCTACCTCATCCAAAATCCACTTTTCTAGTAGGGTTATATCACTCCATTTTATCATTTTTGGGATTGGTACATTTGATTTTTCAAGGTTGGTTTGGAAAAAGGTAGTTTCACCTTTACTGTCTAAATCTTTAGCTTTGGGACAGACAATGTTCATAACCTTATATGAAACCCTATAAATGATTGCTAGATTTTGGGATCCTGGGTCCATATCATAACCCTGAGTTTGAATATTCAACATTAGAGCTTTCAAGATATTTATATAAGAAAGTGCAACAGAAAAGTTTGGAAAACAGTTAAAGTATATCGGGCCTTCCCCTAAGGTTGACTCGACTATTCCTAGCAAGGAATCTGTGAACTTTCTATGTCTTCCATCTCTTACACAAAGCACGATTGAACTGGGCAATCCTGTTCTGGTAAGTGGTTTCACCGCTACCAGCACCAATCCTATGTGCAAATAGTTATATTTTCTATCCAGATTCTGGTCGATTTGACGCTGGGTAAATAGCTGGAAACTATCATTTTTATCAATGACAAATATCGTTTTTTCAACAGTTTTTATCGCGTAGTCGGATCTGAACTTGAAAGATCCTTTATAGTATATATCAGTAATGGGTACTCTAGGAATATCCCAGTTGCACAACTCCTTTTCTACGTCCCGCATGGTTATTTCTTGAGAGTTTTTAACTCTTAGGGTTCTATGGCTAGAACTGCTACTAGAGCTTGCTTCTCCAAAAGAACGGGAAGACAAGATTCTCCTAAGGCTTGCCATTTTAATATTCTGGGTTTTATGCTTTCCTTCTGTTCTCCTCCTAATGCAAGGTTGCTAGTCCTTGCCTAGGTCTCTCAACGCCTTAAAGGAACCTATCTGATAACGGCTAAATAGCCTATCTGATAGCTAGACAACTCGATGACTAGTGAGTAAAGGAAACTTGATAGAAAACCCAGAAAATTAAACTTGCAAAACTTAGTTAGAACCTTAAACTTAACAACTCTTCTAGGGACTTTCGGCTCTGATACCAGGTACTGGCCTAGCTTCTTAATGTATATATATATATATATATACATTTTCTGAAAACAAACTAGAATTTTATAAAACTATGTCTTAATAAAACTTAAAGCCTACTGCCACTCAATCTGATAACTATCCCACTTTTTACTTTTCCTATCCTTTAAGGATTCTCAACTCGGTAGCAAATTAATAAATATACTTAAAACCAGCAAAGTCATGCTAGGAAAATATCAATTATTAAATACTTATTCAAGATCAAATAATGGAATTTAGTTGCATAAAATCATTTATAAAACAAACAGTCCACTCACATATGCTCTGAGCTAGTTGGACCCTTTGAAGGTCCCTCCTGCGGGTCACTTGGTGCCCGGGTGCCTGAATAACCATCACAATATTTTATTAATAACTCTGCTCAATAATATAATATTAAATTAAAAACCCTGACCCCTGGCTCCTAAAAGTGCATGTGTCACTTTAAAGAACATTCCTATGCCCACATTAGCTTTTCTCTCAATGGGCATGACTTAGAAGTAACTCGGGACTCAAAAATGATAAAGTCCCAAAAAGACAACCCGAGACCACGTGGGGTCCACGACCTCTAAATTCCGATCTGACAATTCCTAACGTTTCCAATATGTCTAGGACACAAGTCTCGAGAGTTTGATCTCGATCGGACGGTCGGATTGCTCATGATCGCACGATCGGTTGGACGAATGATTACCATAACTCTAGCCCTAGGATTGGCATTTTTGGAGTCTCTGGAACTCCGATTCACGATCCGTCGAATCCTACACGATCCTGAAATTACCTAGATCGACATATTCCAGTTTGACTACAATCCAACAATCTGAACGTATTGAACCCGGAAATCGCACAATATGCGAGATCCGTACGGGGTTCAAACGTTATCCAAATTGAGATCTGTAAATTCCTACACGCTCGTGAGGACACGAGGATCATTCTAGGACTAAGAGTGGTCCCCGACACCAAGGTCATGCGCCGCCCACACGCCGGCAGCGCATGGGTGTGCATAATAAATTCCAGCGGCCGGAAATCTCCAAACTGCCGGCCCAAACTCCTCGCCTAGGTAAAACACCTAATTTGCAACCACTTTTGTTCTTGGACTGTGGCCAAAAAATGACTGGAAGTGGCTGAAACCGAGCTCTCAAAACTAGCAGAATTTCAATTCGAAATTTAACCCTTCAAACCTCAAAATCTCTCAAAACCGACCCATCCATCAACTAGATTGTGAAAAATAGTCGAAAATCCATACCTTACTCTACTGATTTGGTGGCCGGAGGAGAGCGAAACG